TCCCAGGCAATTTGTTCGCCAAGCCCTGTGTGAGCAAGGTTATGAATGTACTATGCAAAATATTCACTGTAAAAATATTTTATTGAAAAACAAAAAGGGACAGGAAATACAGACATCATAAATCTTCTACAGTATAGATATGGTTTCTGAATACCCAGCATGACATCTGAGAATAGATTTATACATTTGTCAGCACGAGTAATAACTGTATGCCTCATAAACCTTCTATACAAAGGTTTCTTAGATATATCTGGTAAAAAAAAACGAACAAATCTTATCTTACACAAAACTAACTTTAAATACACTTTTTTAACGGAATATTAAAAATACAGGGTAAGCAACACAAATTATTGCTTTTTTAAAAAAAGATTATGACATATATTTGCCATACCAGAGTTATAAAATATGTCTTGTAGAAATCCAGCTCTACCATACAAAGGAGTAATAAAATATCATGCGCAGCAATGTCTTCCACACACCATAATCTTGTGAATAACGTACCATCTAGTAACCCAAGTACTGACAATGACATAACTTTACTGTTTTGTACATGGAAATGCACACCAGATTTGCTACTTTTCACACATCAACGAAGATTGATACTCAGGACTTTACATGCTACAGTCCACCGCTACCGAGAGCGTAGTGGTTGACGCCCCAGGGTAATTCACTCAAAAAACAAATAGTGGTTTGTGCAGAAGCTCCCAGATAGCTACCACATTTCAGTTTACATTTGTCAGATACACAGCTATATAATCAGGTAAACCTTTATGATATAATCTTTATGTTTGATAATCACTGAGATAAATGAATTCTAAATTTTACATAATTTCCAATAAGCAAGGAACATACTGAAATGAATGGAGTATTTTTGTAGGACTTTCATGCTCATAAATAAAGTACCAAATGCAAAGTTTTATGTGAAAGATGAGTCAGGGCATCTGCAATGTCTCCCCTTAATACCATATAATAAAAATAAACCATCATGACAGATACAGGCTTGCCAATTATAGTGGCATAAAAAGGACAGCATTGAATTTACAAAACAATATACAGGGTTATTCATAATAGGGTGAAGAGTTTGGAGAAGGCAGGAGAAGTGAATAATCTAGGACAACATAGATGAACTGGAAAGTGAGCTGAATTGGAGAATTTTTCCGAATCGGCTATTTTAGCCTAGATTGTTCAATCCGGCCTTCTCCAAACTCTTCACCCTTTTGTGAATAACCCTGTATATATTTCAATTAAATATTTTAAAGGGGATGTATATATTCAATATTGAAACATTGTACATGTGTACCTGGCCTTAACGGAAGGCCCACGTTGCTGCCAGTTCCTCACCTGCCCAAACAGAATGAGCTTTTTTGGCTAAAAAATACATTTTGGTTGGGTCTCTGGAATTTACACATCAAGCTTGCACTTTGACTAAATAAACTTGCGCATCAAACCTTATGCATCCATAAAAAGAGGATTCTGGTTTGCAATAAGATGCCAGGTCATTGGTGCAATTGACTGAGAACATATTTGCTTATTTAGATTTACCACATATAGGGGGAGAGCAGTTCTTTAACCCATCACCCAACATGAACATCTACTCCCCAGGGCACATTGTACAGGTACTTGTTGGCTGTGAACTAGCATCTTATTACAAAGGAAAAAGCTTGGTCAGAATGTTTTCAGCCAGCATAATCTACTTTTTTGGCCAACAAATGTTAGCAGTAAAAGTATCTTCTGACCTTACAAACACTCAAATCTGCTTTTTTCTCATTTATTGGACAACAACCTTCTTTCTCAAATTAGAAGCAGGATAACTTCTACGTCGACTATAACTTATTTAGAAACACAGTCAGACATAACAAACATTTCTGACACGTTACAATACAGGGACTTATTTAACAGCTGACAATTTAAAAGGAATATGATAATTAAAATGTAAAGCGTACAAAACCAGGTGATTTCTTGCAGAGATCAATTCCCCACTAGGCTGTTCAATGTGTTTTAGAAACATAGTGGAGGAATTCATTTTGGGTAAACTTTCTTTTAAAGCTGAACTCCATGAGTAATTCAAAACTGCTCTTTTTTTGTCTAGGGTACAATTAAAAAGCAGTTTCATGTTATACCTTATCCCTTGCTCCTACAGCAGCCAGTGCTCTTCTCTTTCCTTCAAGGAGAAAGGTCATACAAAGTCATATTTTTATAGATCTGGATTATGCAGTTATAGGTGGGATTCTGATGCAGAGGTAGGAGGAGGGGGGGGTATGACTATGGACATTAATGGGTATAGACCCTAAAGGTTTTACTTATTCTTCACATTCCATAGCTGCATGTACTGTGAAATAATTACTCCTAAAACATCACAACAGAGACTCAGGCCCGGGTTCACAGTATCATGTTGCAGTAATAAAGGTCACCTGCATTGTTGCACTGCAGTGTGGAAAAGGGTTAGATGCAGTTTTTGCTGAGGTGCATCGTTTTGAATGGGCTACCCTAATGCAACACATATAAATGCACAACATAATGTGTTTTAACGCATGTATGTTAAAGCACTGGAGCAATGTGAACCCGGGCCAAAATTTAGGTTTCAGCCAGTTTCTAACATCATACAATCACCTGGTGTTTGTTTACATTGTCAGCCTGCTGGAGTTTCTGCTCTCCATAGAAAGTAAAGAGTACAGCAATTCAGTATGGATTTTGAAGATTAATTTCTTATAGCTACAGTGGTGAGTGGGGTTGTTTTAAATTGCTTTTAATGCAAGGGTAGATGCAAATCCTCTAATGTGAATAGTCTGGGCAACTAGGCACAGCTTCACTTTAAAGATGCACCTTTCCTTTTCAGCAGACTTTTAAGATATGGTGTGATTTTCATTGCTTTAAGCTTTCCAGCAGGGTATAGCTCTTGGTTAGCAAGCATTGATACAAATGTTTGAAGAAATTAAAAAAAAAAGATGTACGAGTACAAATTACCTGTGATTGGTTATTTGTGGCTACGGTTACAAAAAAAATTAGATGGCCACACACCTACTACCAATGTTGTAAATCAGGTTAAATTGTTAATTGGTAAACCATTAAGTAATAAATGTTATTGGAGCGGCACTGCTAAATCTTTAGTTCTGGGTGGCAATGATACACATCAAATACTTATCCTATTGCCTAATATTTACTACTTGTTTGCAGACTGACATATACACAATGTACATACTTCATTGTATAACCAAAAATAAAATAAAATGTAAAAAAAAAAAAAGCACGCACCATAGATATAGAACCAAGGAGACCTTGGGGTATACTCGCCTTTTTGACAATAAAGTGATTCATAAATTGCTAGTTTTTACTATTGCAAAGATAGAAAACGTGTAATCTTATTTGGGAGTTCAGTGCTACATTTTATATAGTTTTATTTGACATAAAGTTTTATGTTTTCATGTAATAATGATATAATTCCTATACATTGTTGCTATAATTCTCTCATTTGGCTTTGTCTTCCTTTTCAAGTTTTTTTTCTGAAGGTATGATGCTTTCAGCAGTGGCAGTTGAGCCAGGAGACAAGCTGCACAAGCAATCTTTACTACCTTCATCAATGATGTCAACTATTAAAATGCTGTCTGTATTGCTTTCATTGCTGAGATCTTCTGTATTGTGTCCCATTAATTCATTTTCACGAAGGGGAGAATTTGTTGCGTCATCTATTCCTGTGGGCAAATGTTTCAGTGCAGACTTTTCTATCTCGGCATCATCAGTCTCAGCTGCCATTTTGTCCTTAAAGTCCTCCGCTGATTCATCTGAGGGATTAACATCCACAGTTTCCTGCTTGGTCTCTTCAACTTGAGAATTTCCGGTTAGCTTTTCCTCAGAACAAATGATTGTTGGTGTTTCCTGTTCTTGCTCAGTATTAGCATCCTTAGACTTCTGTGAATGTTTTCTCAAGGATCTATTCAGAGGTGTGGTCTTTTGAACTGATTTAGTTTGCCGAGTTTTCTGTTTTGTGGGGGGTCCCCAAATAAAGTGCTCAGGAGGCTGGAAATAATGGTAGGCATACCGTAAAAGTCTTCTTCTTTCCCTCCTATCTTTTATAGCATAAACAAAATACTCCAGAGCACTTTGTTTCATATTTGGGATGGTGTTTTCAACAATGGACTCCTGAAGAAAGACTTTTACTAAGGGAGGCTTATAATGTTCATACCCAAGTTCTCCAAGACTTTTCAATATGCGTGTGATTCTTAAATAGTTGTGCTGAGATCTGGAATCACACAAAAAAAAACAAAGGCAGAATCAGTACAAATACACTTGGCAGGTACATAGTGTCAGTGTCCAACTTCCACTTGTGGCACCATTCCAGAAGAATGTTACAGAGGTCCAATATATTTGTGTTGTGGTTCAGCTACAACCACATGTTTTTCACTGTGGGGTTTCATCAGGTCATGAGACAAAGCCAACAATTATAGGGGATACACAAAACAAGTATTGAGCCATTCCAGTGTCTTCTTTATTTCTGTACTATACCCATGTCTTTCCACTAATTAAACCAAACATGTGAGTTACTTTCAGCTAGATGGACAAATCCTGTTTGATTTAGAAAAAGATATAAACTTTATGTCAACCTTGTCAACTTGTATTTGCTTCACAGGCTCAGAATTGGGAATGTTTCAGCCTAACGGCTTTTATCCCCTGGAGATAGAAGTGAAGTAGTGGATGTCTATATAGCGCACAGAAATGCATGTCTCTAAAATTTGAGTGTGCAAGTTTCTGTTGTTGTTGTTGGATGAAAAGGAAGATTAGTTTTCTATCTCGATAACATGTGAATATTAAACTGCCATTCCATGTCTCAGGTTATATTTAACCAGATCTCTTCTTGCCTAGAACAAGTGGCAAGACATCTGCCCATAACCATCATCATCATCATCACTGGGACCTGCTACAGTTCCTACCCTTAATTTTTCTATGTGGGGAGAATGTGGTAGAGTTGGTCATCAATCAATTGAAGATTCAGCTTTCTGATACCAGTGCAAACTACATTAATTAAGCACACAACAGTTCTTTGTAAAATTGTCAGGGGAGGTTTTATTAGAAATGCAGCTGTATAGCTGTGGTTAGGCTTTATTAATGTGCTCCTAAGTGTACACACAAAAGGGTTCTACCCGAAGTTCAGTCAGCTTGTAATAGAGACCTCATATACATTTTCTAAAAACAATAATGTATCTACATTGGGGTTAGCCACATTTGCTTAAAAGGAGAACTATGGGGGTCAGTGTTTTTCCCCATAGTTCTCCTTAGGGTAACGGGAGGACACAAACTAGCGTCCTCCCGTTACCCTAAGCTCAGTATACCGTGAGCTACAGCCCGGCTCTGCGTGAGTGACAGCTGGCTCTGCCTATCTAGAGGCAGAGCCAGCTGTACCCGCCCCCTCCCCCGGCCGTTCCGCCAGTCAGCGCCGGCAGATCGGAGCGGGGAGAGGGGAATCCAGCCCCTCCCCCTGTCACGGCAGAGAGCCGTGACAGGATCGAGAGGCGAGCGAACCCGGTATGTGTTCGCTCACCTCCCGATCTACTGAGCCGACCTGTGACAGTCTCATTGTCACAGGTCGGCTAGAACTATGAGGTGAGTGAAAATCACTCACCTCATAGTTCTCCTTTAATACATATGCAGAACCTGCTTCCTATCTAGTAGTTCTGTGCAGTGGATTTTCCTTGCGTAATAATTTATCTCACTTTAAATCTACTGCACTACACAGTGTCTGTCCAAAGCCAGGTATACATGGTAAGAATTTCATCAGACATTTTTTTTGGAACGTTTGTTAATTTCTCCATTAGTTAATTGGGTGAAACCGATAGTCAATTTCAACCGCAGTGATGAGGGACAAAAAAAATCGAAGGAGCAGAATGGACAATTTTTTTCAAACTAACAAAATTCTAAGAGTGAATGTGCTTTTCGTTCAGGAAATTCCATTCATTCCAAAATCGAAACGAATTTCAAACAATGCATACCCAGCTTAAAAGAGTTCTCTTTTAAGCTGGGTATGCATAGTTCTCTTTAGGGTCTAAGAAGGGCATATATTTATGTCCTTCTGTGACCCAAAACTCAGCATATAGTGGGCAATTGCCCGCTATATGCTGACAGCACAGAGCCGCACTGCAGCCAGAACGGATCCTGACAATATTGTCGTGGCCCCCCCCTCCCTCCTCCATTCCTCCAGTCAGCGCTGGAGGATCAGAGAGGGGAGGGGGGGAATCCCTGCACGGTTCGATGACCGACAGTCACCTCTCTCTGCAGGGAGATGATCGGGAACTGAGCGACTGGCGGTATGTGATCGCTCAGTTCCTGATCAATAGAGCCGACCTTTGACAGTTTCATTGTCACATGTCACCTCTAATTATGGGGACATGTGTATTGCAAACACCCCATAATTCTCTTTTAACTAAAACAATGAAGTCTCTGCAGCGATAATGACAGGTTATAATCTAGGCTGTCTAAACTTTGTCACATAAGTGAGTTCTGGTACAATGAATTTTTATTCATAAAATCAAGAAAGAGAGACTTATTTGCATACTAGTTAAATTAAGCACATATTTAAAGCAAAAGAATAAAAACAAAAACAAAAAGAGATAAGTCAAAAGAGTGTGAGAATGAACTAACGTACTCATTTAAGTGCGTAAATCTATCTTGCCAGTTTGCAGCTCTGGATACATTTCCATTCTTGTCTACCAACTTTAATCCAAAAAATTCCAGCATTATCTTGTACGCCATAATGAATCTTTTGGTTGCTTCCTTTGTCTTTTTAAATTCCTTCAAAGAAAAGAGATATAAAGTCAATACACAAACAAACACAATCTAATACTTTTCAATTTGTGTTACACATTACAGCGATTAAATATCTAGGTTTTAAAATCTAAATGATGCTGGTGGCAAAACAATACTAAAGAAGACTTTATGTCATACAAATGTTCTACATGCAATCAGACAAGTTCTTTCATCTGATAACTGATCCTACTTCTCTCATTTCTGTATACTGCCAAAACCCAAGGCAGTGTTCCAGTACCTTCAATTTTGTATTCCATCCCATCTCTTCTTCCTTCATTTCTGCCTCAACCTATCCCCATCTACTGGCAATTTCCTAATTGAAACATGCAGCTCTTCAAAAAAACCCTCTTTGGACCCTTCTAGCCTCTTCAACTTCCATCCTCTTTCACTCTTGTCCATCTCATTCAGAATAATACACTTCACTCTGAAATAACTATTGGGAAGAAACACATTTTATCCACTACTTCAGATCCATTAGAGAGAATACTTGCTCAAAGCCTCATTTACATGGTCTGAGTATGATGTACAGTATATGATGTATACAAATTATATACACTTATGTAATTCCCCTTATGCCTAGACAAAGCTGGTGCCCCAGAGGTCATTTATATAACACTGATTGTGAAATGTACAACAACCTTCTGCTGTTGGACCCTTAACTTTTGCACCTATACCTATAATCTTGTCATTTAGCTTTAACAAATACTTCCATGCAGATGATACTGAATTCTGTCTTTTAGCTCCAGATCTTACTCTGCTACTGTCTTGTGTTCCTGAGTGTCTATCTACAGTTTCTGCTTTCATGCCTTATCAATTCCTAAAACTTAGGATAAAAGTAGCCTGTAATTTTCCTGCCACCTTACCTGAAATTAGTGTAAAGTAGCGAGATTAGTGTTGACGACAACCCAGTAACAACACTGCTCTTCAAACTTGCTGTCTAGGGGACAACATTCAGTTCTGCTCTCATTTAAGCACCTAAGGTTACATTTCTGACCCTGTCTTGTCATCTCCATGTTAAAAACCTATATCTTTCACTTTCTCATTCATGATATGACAAAATTGCTAGTGCATGCCCTCAGTATATCCTGCTTAGACTATTGTAACACACATTGGTATATTCAATGTATTATATTAAAAAATTTTTATCTGAGCTTATGGGTATTCCTAAAGTGACTAAATAGATTAAAAAAATAAAATAAATATATTAAAAGCTGCTGTACTATAGACATCCTGGTCCAGCTAAAGATGTTACTGAATGTACAGCGCTAGGGGCCCAAATAGTAATGACTTGGGTGGGTCTGTTCTAAGAATGATCCAGTTAATCAATGTCAGCCCTTTGTGTATAAATTAAAATTCCAAAATAGTGAATAAATAACGTATTGCCACTATATGACAAAAATGTGCAAACAATACAAAAACGTGCAAAAATATATATCTCTGTGCATAAATATATAATCAAATCATCCGAAAGCAATTCCTTTATATCATAAAAGTGAATTAATTATCTAATAAGGGATAATAACATGACCCTTAGACTTTGATAATGTGATCAGTCCATAATCCATATGTGAAAATTAATAATGTGAAAAAGATATCTCCAATAGGTGCAATAGAATAAAGTCCCAAACTGCTTGATGAACTCTCCAGAGATCGTATAAGTGCCACACATACACCCCCTCAAGAGTGCGCACTCACCGCAATATAATGGCTGTATATAACAACCAAACACCGCTCACTGATAGACCACGATAAATCAGCGTCTCCTATAAGTGCTTTCAAAAACGATGTCCCATAGATCGATTAATCCCCATATTCATAAAAAGAAAAAGGCTCCTCACTGTATAGTAGTTCAAGAACCATTTATTGTAAAAAAAAAAAATAGAAACTTACATCCATAAAACAAGACAACTGGCCAGTCAGATTTCACAATAGCAACCTGCACTTCCATGTTTGGGGAAACCCAGGGCGGGTCTACCTTGATACCATACCAAACACGGAAGTGGACGTTTCTAATTTCTTTTCTATTTTTTTTTACAATAAATGGTTCTTGAACTACTATACAATGAGGAGCCTTTTCTTTTTATGAATATGGGGATTGTTCATCATGGCGGCGTCCAGGTACAGCCTCCAAGTCAGCACAGAGGATTTGTTGATCTGTATACAGTATTATAACCATCCTTCTGACCATGTGTCCCTTAATAAACAATTAAGTAAACCGATTTCAGTTTTCTAAAGATTTATAAATGTACAGTGAACCCATCTAATAACAATGGCTAGTGCATTTGCCCATTTTGTATAGATAGCAGATGATTAGAACAGTCAGGTTTTTTAAATTGATGTTCGTGTGGGGAGATTCACCCTCACTTCCAGTTCAAGTGACCTCCTTTGAGTTGCTTTTGTGACAGGGTGTCCTAGAGAAAGAGACAGGGTGTAGGGAACTACCCAGTGAGGACAACGAGAGCTAAAAAAAACTGTCAGAGGCTCTAACAGAGATGTTATTGTTCACCACAGTATCCAAATGAAAAAGACTTTCAGATGCTTTTTAAAAAAGGCCAACTATAAACAGAAAGATGTCTCACCCAAAGGGACAGGTGGGGACATATCTACTCATCCTTTCTCACATCAGAGAAATGCCATTACCCACAAGTATGTGCAAACTGTTGGCGCTATTTAAATCATGTATAATAATAATAATGATGGTGTGAAATCAAAAGCACTGGTTATATCCGAGACCTAGGAATATATACACAACTGTAAATGGTATTTGTATGTATTCCTCTATCAATTTTAGGAAAAAGTAAAGAGAAAAAGGGGGTTATTTGCCTGCCAGTGTACTGCTGGGTCTTTCATACTTCTACTTATGTTGGCTGTGAACATAATGATAGTTCTTTTTTTCAGTTATTCAGTTACAAATTATGTGTGATGAGTAGGGAAGAACATGTTGTGGTGTTCTACAAAGCACTCTGCTCAGTAGTTTCTTTTTATTTCAAGGCAGCTAATCACAAGCTATATAATAAGGAGGATCAAGGAAGATGTACATTTGATGGAAGTTTAATACTCATATGCTGTGTACATCTTTCTCTGTACAAAAAAACATAGTGAAATATCAAGCACAGCTCCCTATATGCTTCTGTAGCCTCATTGCTTTCTTAATATCACTTTCACATTGTTAATGATGAAAAGTCTCCTTGTTTTTCCCCTCTTCCACTCCCCTGTTGGTTGAATCCCTTGCTGAAATTTCCCCCTTTTTTTGTTTTACATACTAGCAGACGGGAAGCAATGGACTGACCAGTGTTGGCAACTAATAAAACAGAGAAAAGGATTACATTTCTGGCCCAGAGGTGCTGTGGCAGACAGAGAAAGAATAAACTATAAGCAGCATACCAGAGAGTGCTTTTCACAGCTATAAATGACTGTAGGAGAGGAAAGGCAGCCTATCTTTTGGTGACCCATGAGATATTATTCAAGGTAACATTTCAGGAATCTTGATAACTGGTATCTGACATATGAAAATGGCACATCCCAGGAGTTACTTGTGAAAGGAATATGAGAGTGGTAAAAGTGACACAATTTAAGAAAAATAGTTGTTAAAAAAATAAATGCATGTATGTGTGAATCATGTTTGCCATTACATACAAAAACAGAAGTTCTAATTCTAAGCGCAGGCCTGCCACTTTGTATTGTACATGATGCTTTGATGAATAGAATTTTAACTATTACTTTGTATTGTCAATCAAAGCTCAACCACATAACGAATGACTCAAACCCATATGTAATATTGTAAGGGCAGCTGTAGGAATTTATACTGGTGTTCTGCTAGAGAAATGACTAAAAGCAAAATGGAGTCATAAGACAGAAAGGTGGAGATACATCAATGTATCTCTCTGGTGCTTTAATTCCAACAACTACTCAGCTTTTGGTAACCATAACCTTATAGCAGAACCATCAAAAAATAAGGGACATGAAGACACAAGTTGTGTGTGGGACTAAGGTGTATTTCCACTTTTGCAGCCAAATTTTAGAAAACCCCACTATATGTTTGTTCTGTGTTCCCATTCACACAGCATAACAAAAAAACAAAAAAAAAATGTCTTAACTTTTAAATGTTTGTTGCTGCAGGCAACATGGCTGAATCAAGAGTTTTTTCTGAACACATTCAAAGCCATCTGTCCTTTGAGGATTGTGTTTCTCTCATTAACATACAATGCAAACCTTTCACCCCTCCTAACATTAAAAAGGAGATGTCCTGTAGAAATTTGAACCCATAAGAAGCCAAGAAAACCAACCCAAGTAAAAGCAATTTAAACGACAAGAAGCATTTTTAAAATATTTTTTTTTCTATATGAATGGGAACATGTAACAAATACAAGATAAGTGTTCTCCCAATTTGGCTGCAAAAGTGGAAATACAATTTAAAATTTGCAAAATACCAAAATAAATATGCATAATTACTAAAACTATTATAGCTAAAAGATGATCAATGTGTAGACTTGTATTTCTCTAAAAACATAATTTAACAATATGAGACAATTACATAACAAGAATTATTATTAAAATATTTTAATATCATCAAGGTACTGTAACTGCCACAAAAACAACTAATTATACTGCTCAGTTTTCAAAAATCTTTCTAGATGAAAATTACCATAAAACAAAAAATAAATAAATGTACTACAATAAATATACATAATTACTAAGATTGTTTTAAAAAAAAAATGCAACAATAAATATATTCAAACAATAATTAGAAATTATCTCTCCAAACATTTCATTATTATTCACTGTTTATTTAATAGATCTGAGGGTTACATGTCAACCGGAGACTTTGTTTTGCATATCTCTATGCTCATTAGAAGAAAGCCGCTAAACATTTATAAAAAAAACCTGACAGCTTATTAAAGCCAACATAAGGGAGTCTTCCCATGTCATTTGCTCATCGGATATGTTTTTATAGCTTGATGCCTGAATAGCTGTCACACTAGTACTTCTAAGAACATTAAAGATGTTTCCTACTCTGTTTCTCAAAAATCCATGATAACAAATGTCAACCCTCAAAGCTAAACAGAAAAAAAAGCACATTTGACACCTTTCAACACAAAATTGTGCACATCGTGTTGTGTGAAACACTTGCCTTTATAAGTGGGTATTTTAAAACGTGGCGTACACAATTACCTTTAGGAATTTACTTATCAAACCAGTAACCATAAAAATATACCAATATTTAAATGATATACAATAAATCTGTTCCACAGAATTGTGGTTTACCTCAATTTCATATGAGGTCAGTTCCTTGGCATAGAAATTTAAACCTTGCTCTCTTAGAGGAAAAAGCCTGTAAAAGAAAAAAAAAAAGATTGGAGTGTAAATGTTATAAAAAGATGCCTGTAGATTCATATGTCTTATTTCCAAATACTTGTCAATTTAACAGGTTTAGGTGATCATCAGACAATTCACGGGGAACAGTGGGCCGGAGACCATCTGTGCTCAATCATGCAGTATACAGTCCCCAGTACAAACTTGTAAGGTACAAGCATGCATGTTTATGGCTCCGTCAGCAAAAATGATGGTGTGCTTTCACTTTAAGGACATGGTTAGCTAAAGTCAGTAAAAGATGAGTAGGGAAAAAAGTAAAATTCGTCCAAACCAGCTTTTGAAACAAGCAGAGATTTATGGGACTAGCCTTAAAGTAGTCCTGTGAGCTGACTAAATGTAGGAAATTGACCCTTACATTGCAAAAAAAGGCACCTCCAGGTGCCTGGCGAACTGGGGTGCTCTGACAAACACACAGCCACAAGCTCCCGAGGTTGCTAGCTCTGACAGAGGCCATCTCACTTCCTCTGCGTAATTTTTCCTTTTCCTCACCTTGATGCACAGCCTCAGCTACCAATATTGCATGAGCAGATTATAATTGGTAAAGCAGGAGCTGGTTACTGATTGCATGAGGAAATATCTCAATTTTTTTAGGCTGCACTGCAGTAAAGTGCACCCAGACGTGCCCTTCCTTTAATGTAAATAGCTGATAACTACTTTAAGTCAGCCAACAGGTTTGCTATAAAAACATACGCTGCCTGGCCAAAAAAAGTCACACACTCTAAAATTTAGTTGCACCAAGATCTTGTAGTAATGATGGAAGAGTTGGCCACTGCGTAAAGTCTTTTCCAGTACATCCCAAAGGTTCTCAATGGGGTTAAGGTTTGGACTCTGTGACGGCCAATCTATGTGTGAAAATGATGTCTTATGCTCCCTGAACCACTCTTTCACAATCTGAGCCCGATGGATCCTGGCAAAGAAAATAAAAAATCCATTGATGGGAAAAACCTGGTCATTCAGTATATTCAGGTAGGCAGGTGACCTCATTTTATGGGGGCATAAGTTGCTGAATCTAGACCTGACCAACTGAAGCAAACCCAGATAACACTGGCCAAAATCTAGGTGGTGACTTTTTGGCCAGGTAGTATACTTTCTATAAAATACAGGTCTTTAGCTTCCCTGCAGAAACCTCCAGATATCAGCCGTTGCAGAATTACAATTCCTTTGACAGTTAAAACAGTAAGCATTTTCAACAGTGTATTTAGCCTTTTGCCTAATAGACATGTATTAGAGAGAGCAGACATCAACACTTACCATTGTATATACGTATGATTATGTTCCAATTTATCATAGTCAGATTTCCATTTGTTTAAAATGTCTTCAATATATACCCCTGAAAAAAACAAAGCAGCATTCATAGAACAGAACTAATATATTTACATTTGGTCAATATGAGAGATGTCCAGGAGAAAACAAAACCCCCTGGGCAACTGGTGTTAGGAGGAAAAATAATTCCTCCTAACCCCACAATACTATCCCCTGATTCATAGTTTTTATCTCTTTTTAATATACCCCAAGAGTTTATCTGATTTTGGAGCTTCCAGTTGGCATTGGGTGATGCCCCATAACATGCTCTTAACTAAAACTCCCATGTACTTCTTTACCTCTGTTCTCACCATTTGTATCCTACCTAGGCAGCATTCATGTTGTCATAATGCAGGGGTGCATGCGTGTTGCAATTCACCGCCACTCATTTTTAATAACACCCCAACTTATTTATACAGTAAACCAAAATGTACCTGTGCTACAGCAAACCACAGTACACAGGTACCATACTCTATGTATTGCGGTGCACTGCCTCGTCAAAAATAGTGCAGGTGTGTTTTTTGTGTGCTATAGTGCCTCGTCAGAAAGTATATTAATACACCAAAACAAAAACCATACATTAAAACAACTTTTAATTTTAAATTCTGTGTTGCCATTTTGCTGACATATTTCCATAATCCATTACCCTAGCCTAATCAGTTTTAACAGTTCTAGGCCATTGCCAAAAATGGAAATAGCTTCTATTCAATCTACCTGATCATTACAAAAAAGGCTGGAATGATCTGAACCTAGAAAAGATCATTGTTAAATATGTTACACTGACATCTAATTTTGTTCTCTATCTTTTAATCAATCTTTACCAGTGTACATGCATTTTGCCCTAGCCTTTACATCTTCATTTTATGTCATCTCACGTTTATATCATGTTTAGCTTACTAATTTGGATTGAGATTTTAGTCTATCACAGAAGCTAAATTGGAGCAGTGGCTATTTTACAACACAAAAGGACCATGGGGAACAAAAGTAGCCACCCTCCATAAGGAAGGACGCTGTCAGCATGAATTCAGATGAAGGTACTTAAACACATTGTTAAGATTTAACTCCTGAGTTTAGTGTCACTTTAAAAACAGAAGAGACATACAAAAGGCTCTTACCAAAAAACTCTGCCTAGTGGCAACTTTGTTTCCCAATTTTAGTTCCACTTTAGTTGGAGAGGGATAGCCACAAATGGAGATTTATAATAATAAAATTAAAAACTTAAATAAAAAGTTTTTTTTTAAATGTATAAAACGGTCAAATACATTTTTAAACCCATTATTGTCTCCCTTTAAAGCAAATCCATTTGACATCATGAATCCTTAGCTGAAGGTTCTAGGCTATGCACCAGTTATGCTCAGTATCATTGCAGCCTGTTTTTTTTCCCAAATCTAAGTAACTCTGGCCCCTTTGAATTCTTCTTTAACATGGAAAATGTAAAATTCAGCATCTGAACAGTGACCCCCTGTGTGCACAAGAAAACTGCAACAGCAGCACAGTAAGGAACCTGCAGCTAATGAATCTCTACTTCCACTGATTCTCATCACAGTCACTGATCACAGTGTATTTAAAAGCTTAACTTCTAGTAAAGAAAAAACATTATGAGGCTCTCACCGTACGTAAGGCCCAATATACATAGATATTCTGACTTTGTAAGCCAACCCTAGTCTAAAGAGTGTTTATTACCCACTTTTCTATATGCTTTTTGTTATTATCTTAAAAAATTATAATAATTGTAATGGTATTTTTTTTCCTATAGGCTGGTCTGGTAAGCATTAAATATTACATACTAATATTGCATGTTAATTTCCAGCCAACTGGTTCAACTGGAAGCATCTAGACATTACCTGTCTATTCTTAGCTATTTTTTTTTTTAACAAAGTCTTGTTTACAGAGCTCAATAATACTTCAAGCTGAAGTTTAAATACAAACCTAGATATGCCATAGAAGTGACTCATCCCCATCCCTAACCTTCATTACGGCTTTGCCCACACTGGGCTATATAAAAGAGAGGCCTGAAAGGAAACAGCTTCTGCTGTGCCCTGTCTTTATAAGAATCCATAATATCCTGTGATACCAGTGCCACAGGTGCACCCTGTTTTAAATGCATATGTTTAACAAAATATTTTGTATGAAACAGTAAAAAGATATAAAACAGAAGTTTAAAAACATACAATAAAAAAATAACACTAGCCCAAAACCTTTAGAATTTCCCTTTAACGAACCTTCTTGTAATGCTTAAAGGTAAACTACTAAACTGAATTCTACAGAGGCACCCAGTTAATACATATGCAGCTAATCCTACTCCATCATTCTGTTCATTATTCATGTAAACTTAATTCCAGCATTAACATACCGTCAGGCTTATAAGGGATCTTGTTCATGTAAAATCTGAGATTGCACAAGTCATTCTGACCACGAAGATCTTTAAAATTCTGCTGGAAAACAAAGGAAAATACCTAGTGATATTGTGCCTGAACTAGGTATCATCATTTTTAACAGTCATCAATTGTAGCACCACAGGTACCAGCAGCCCCACAGCAGCAAAAAGTTAAGAACAAATGCTAGCCTGTGGAAGCACAGGTAACAGATCAGCTCTGCAGCTGATCTGTGACACTGTCAAAATAGAATTTTAGGAGGTGCCAGTGTTGACTTGCTTTAAATGTTTGAATTGTTGCTGTTCAGTAAAATTAATATATATCTCAATATGACCTTACAGGCTTCCCCTAAATTCATGCAGGCTGTTGTAGTGAATTGGTGGATGGTGCCACCACAAAGTCATAGGAAAATTAGGATCTGCAACAGTAGAGTCTCTACCTTGAGAAAGGGATCCTGCAAATTCCAAAAACTTTGGCGCGTGATGCCTGTTGCTTTATTTTTTTTATTTATATGAATTTTAAAGTGACATTAAACTCAGGAGTTACATTTCAAAATTGCATTCAAGTGTCTAACAACTAACAAAAATGTATCTTATTTGTGTATCACTCGGCTGTAGAGTGTCAAATCATCTCTGAATTGGTGCTGTACACAATGCTCTTAAATTGGAGCCCGTGTGAACAAAACCAAAGGTTTTGACCTATGGTGATAAGGGCAATAAAAATTGCTATTTTCTTTAACCTTAGAATCATTCATCTGATTCTCTGAGATGAGCATTGCATCTAACACCAAACCTAATTTTATATGGTCCCCATGATGGACTTTAATCTAACTTTTAGTTTACTTATTTGTATTGAGATTGTAGTCCATCACAGGAACGAACTTGGAGTGGTGGCTACTTTACAACACACACAGGGACCATGGAGAACAAAAGTAGCCACCCTCCAGAAGGAAGGACAGTGTCAGCACCAATTCAGAGATGATTTGAGGATCTACAGCGGAGTGATACACAAATAAGATACATTTTTGTTAGTAGTTGAGGTGCTTGAATGCATTTTTAAGATTTAATTCCTGAGTATAGTGTCACTGTAAGCCTTTTTAAACCAAATAAGAAAGGAAAAAAGAGAGGTAGAGGATGTCACTAAGAAAATCTCTTACTGGGTATTGGTGTCGATACTTGTACAGATCTCTTGCTGCATAAAAGCTTCTCTTTGGTTTGATGTTCTGTTCCGGTGTGTTGCCATTCTGAAAAACACAGATTAAAAAAAAGCATAATAATTAAAAAAAAAAAAGATTTTGCTGCAGGAAAGCAACCAAATTTACCTATTAAGAATGCACATTATAAGGATTAAGTTCATGATAATGGTGTTGCTGCAAACTTCCAGCTTTCAAACTCTCATGTAAAAAAACAAACAAACACACACACACACACAAAAACTACTGGTCCAGTAGAGTACAGGATTATAATTTTTTTGACAACTGTTCATTTTAAATTGTTTCCATATTTTGTATTGTAATGTTGATTATATGTTAATGTATTGCAGGTACTTGGTGTAGTCCCATCATTCACCTATAGTATATAGCAGTAAGCCAAACTTCAGTTGTCATCAATTTGACCCCATTAACTATTATAAAATTGAACAAATATTCCGGAAATAATTGTTCTGAAAATTCTACTGGTGTATGGCCAGCTTAAATCGAAAATAGCATCCTCCCTTTGTGCATTCTCCAAAAGCTAGCTCGCAATTGGTTGTTAGGAATGAGCAAGGCGCAAGCACTTCTAAAGAGATGTTGGGGATACCTTCTTCATAAAAAAAGAAATAGAAAACACTGCAGCCTTTCCTTTTCTCTTCCCCTTAGCAAATTTTCTTTAATACATGCTTACACACACTTTATGAAGGCATGCGCTTTACACAAATTATGATTTTAGGGCTGCTGACATTGAGTAAAGTATGAGCAACAACATAACCGATGATCTGTATTTTTATCGTTAAGATGCACTTATGCTATAAATGCTTAGCCAGTTTATTGAAATGCATCTATGATTTACGCTACAAAGGCCCAATTCTCTTCAGTATATACAAATCCTTCATGGTATATTAAATGAGTCAGCCTATCTCCCGAGACAAGCAGAAGCTGAAATAATAAGTAAAAAATACAGCTTAACACAGAAAAATTTCTAGTAAGGATATACAGACTTGCATATGCTGCAAAGAAATATGCTTCATATGTCGCATTTGTTACATTAAATCATACAGCTACTAGACATCAGCTTTTGGCATTAGCTCCACAAGTTTAAACATTTAATTGAACACAAATTGTTATCTTAAAGCAAAACTCCACAAATGCTTCTACCCACACCAGACACAAGATTAGCATATATTTTAATAGAGATTATTTGGCTACCAGTATCTTACTGACAGTTTATATGTTGTTCTAGGGCAAGGGTGCCCATAAGGTCGATCGCAATCTACCAGTTATCGCGATGTCCTCTCCTCCCGCCCGTGGGTCTTCTCCTCTGACCCCCCCCCCCCCCCCCCCGCGGCTGAAGTGCTTCTTTGACTTCTCCTCGGATCCCCCACTGCCTCTACCCGGGAGATCCAGAGGAGAGGCTGAGCCCCCGTGTGCGTGGCTTAGCGGCAGAGGATCAGTACATATCAGCGATATCTACCGGTCCTCTGTGCAGAACAAACACTGGAGCGATCAGCTGATCCCTCCAGTGTTTTTAAATAACTGGGGACACATAGTACTATGTGTCCCCAGCTATGAATGAACAGGATGTGATTTAAATCACGTCCTGTTCATTCATGGGTTTCTCCCCATTCAGAAACTGGATGATAGTTAAATATTTTCGGAATGAATGGGAAGCCTCTGTGCTGCCCATTCATTTAGAACAGAGGCTGCAGAAAAAGAGATTAAGGCTGCAGAAAAAGAGATTAAGGACAATGTGTCCTCAATTTCTTTTTCTATGTTAAAAGGGAAATATCAGTAGGCTGTTTAGACCCCAGATATTTCACCATAGCTTCACCAAAAAAAAAGTGAAAATGAAAAAATTAAATAAATAATAAAAATAAAATAAAAAATAGTAAAAAATAAAAACAAAGTCCTGGAGGCAGGGCGCTGGGTGACATCACACGCGTGTTGGGGGGGGCGACAACGTTTTTTCTTGCCTCAGGCGCAAAAGGAGCTGGCTACGGCTATGCTCCCACGGTGCTTGTGTGGCTGCCGGCTGAATGTGTCTGGCTCAGCAGATGGAAAGGGGTAGGACACCTCTCACCATGTGCAATGTCGGCCACACGAGCACAGCGGGAGGACAGGACGCGTCGATGTTCTAGGGTTTTCCCACATGAGTTTATGCCCAACTGTTGAAAGTATGTAAGCAAATATACGTTAAAGGGGTTTTCTACTTTCAGCTACATAGTGGAAAACCCTTTGATTTGTTGTGTGCGGGAGCATAAATACCAATAGGCAGTGCACAGCCAGCTGCAAGGCTCCTGGGCTTTTTATGGCTTTATTCAGCTCTGTAGTAAGTTAATACAGTTCCTGACTTGGAAATCCAGGCTTATATGTGATTCAAACAAGCCATAATTTACTGCAACAATAAATACACATATTTGTAGCTGCATGTAAAATGTAAAGAAAATGTTCAAGAGGAACTTCATCCTACTTAACCAAAAAGAAATTTGAATGCCCTAAAAAACAAACAAACATACATACTTATTAGTTTATGGAATCCAGCATTGCTTTCCTAGCTGCTGAAGTTCTTCTTGCACTGATCAGCTCCCATACTGCCATTTTGAAACAAGATCCAGCACAAATTCACTGGATTTCCCCCTGGGCAAGTGCAGAAACACTGATGGCCTCTGGAAGGTTTATCAGACCTGACAGAGACCCGCGCCGTTCCTGAGCACCCGTGACACTGACTCCTTGGATGTGAGACAATCGTGAGACAAACCGGGTTATTCACCAAACCGCCAAAGGCAGCCGAATGAATAACAGAGCCGAAGTGAAGTGAGCCGAACGCTGTTTGGCTATTCACTTCTGGCTTGTACGGCTGATTTCAGCCGTACATCAGCTCTGTACGGCTGCCTTCAGTCATCCGAACATGCTCTGCATGTTCAGCTGAGCCGAAGTGCAGAAGGACTTCGACTCAGCCGTTCCAACATTTGGATCGGCTGAGCCTAAGCTCCGGCAGCTCGCTCGCTGCCGTTTCCCCCCCTATTCTCATAGGGGCCGAATGCCAGTGAGTGAATAGCCAAATGTCGCCGAGCGGGATTCGGCTTGGCTATTCTGCTCGGTACCTCCATGGTACCGAGCATAATAAAAAAAAAATCTGTGAAAATAGTTTAAAAAAAACAAAACGAAAAGTTGTAAACATTTTTAAAAATGTAAATAAATAGTAAAATTAAAAAATAGATAAAGATATTAAAAAAATAAGAAAAAAAAACCTGGGCGGAGCTAGCAGTGACGGCTAGAACCGCCCAACTGTCTTCTAGCAGGTCCCGACACATCATGGCTGGCTCCGCCCAGTTATTATTGTTTAACCACTTGAAGGCCAGGGTGTTAAACCCTCTTCCTGGCCTGCCGTTTTTCAGTATTCAGCGCTGCAGTACTTTGACTGACGTTTGTTCTGTCATGCAACGCTGTACTGAAATTAATTTTATACCATTTTTTAGGGACGGATATAGCTTTCTTTTGGTGGTATTTAATCACCACTGGGGTTTTTATTTTTTACTATATAAAAAAAAATTACCCTAAATTTTGTAAAAAACCCCATTTATTATCACCCTAATTTCGTGGTAAAATATAAAATACGACGGGGGTCACATCGGGTAAATAGGCACCAAACAAACATGTCACATTTTAAAATTGCGCGCGCTCGCAAAATTGCAGAAAACGACCACACCCAAAATTGTCCATAAGCGACACTTTAAAAGCTTTTACCGCTCAACAGTTTAATGTTATCAGTAATTAATGGCCCTAAAATTATCGCTTTCATTCTGACATTCGCGGCAATAGGTAACATGTGTGGCACAATAGGTGGAATCGTCGTTTTCGCACGTTGGCACACCCAACGCATGTTTGCATGTGTATGTGAGGGGGGGGGGAGGGGCGGAGGACTTTAACCACTTGCCGTCCGCCCGTAGTAAAAAAACGGACGGACGGCACTGCAGCATTGGCAAATTTTTTCTGCTCGCGCGTGCCCCCTGGCGGGCACACACGGGCGGCAAAGACCCGACCATTGCACACACCCGTTACCGGGTGTTTCACATATAGGCGATTAGCGGCTTCATAGCCCGCCGATCGTCTATATGTGCTCGTTTGCGTCCGCCCCCCTGACCCCTCACCTTGAATCCCGGGATCCGCTGCCCTGTCTGCGGCCCGGGATCGGCTCGGAGGGCGCCAGGAAATTTTTGTGTTATTTTAAAAAAATTTTTTTATTTGTGACTTTTTTTTAGCTTCTTTATGCTTTAATTTTTGTAAACTTTTTTTTTTTTTTTTACACCTAACTTTATTGCTATCACTTAGGGGACTAAGAAACCCCCTATGTGATAACCAATTCACATGACAGGTCCTCTTCATGGAGACATCAGGGGTCTCCAAGACCCCTAATGTCACCTAGGGACCCCCAGAGAAGCTGATGAAACAGAGATCTGCTTCATCAGCTTCTCACCAGCATCTGTAATCGGAGAGGGACACTGAATGCAAGAAGTGATGTAATATACATCACTTCCTGCATTCAGGGACCGAGAAGAGATCAAAAGCGAGATCTTGTACTGATCTCCCTTTGATCTCCACTGACAGCGTCGCCGTGCCGGTCCAAAGCCGCACTGGGCACAGCAGATCTCGGGACCGGCGGCGACGGAGGTATGGGGGGGCGCACACACATTGCACCTACAAGACTCCTGGTCATTTGGGGACGTTGATCTGTCATTACAACTGGGCAGAGGCAGCTGTCTCCGTCCAGCTGTCATTTGCGGGACAAACCGCTGGCCTTTGGCAGGCCGTTCTCCCCCGCTTCGGCTGTCACTTCGGCTCAGTCGAGCCAAAGCATATGCCTTCGGCTCGGCTAAGCCGCTCGGTTGCCTTCAGCCGCTGTATGGGCTATAATGAATAGCCCGTACAGCAGGTTGAAGAGAGCAGAAAGATCAGCCAAAGCTACGGCTGGATCCTTCGTAAATAACCCCCATAGCCTTCCCAAGAGGCAGTGGGTGGCTGTACACATCATTCATGCCAAGGCAAGG